TTGTTCCTGAGCGGTTCAGTTCTGCAGCTTTTATTATCTTCTCCAACATAAGATTAAAGAAGTCACATGAAAGAGTGTCGCCCTGTCTGAAACCCCGTTTTGTGCCGAACGGCTCGGAGAGGTCTTTTCCAATTCTGACGGAGCTGGTGGTATTGCTCAACGTCATTTTACACAGCCGTATGAGTTTTGAGGGGATGCCAAATTCAGACATAACGGCGTATAGGCAACACCTTTTAGTGCTGTCAAAAGCGGCTTTAAAATCGACAAATCGGTGGTGAGTGTCGATCCTTTTCTCGCGGGTCTTTTCCAAGATTTGGCGTATTGTGAATACCTGGTCTATGGTGGATTTTCCAGGTCTAGAGCCACTCTGATAAGGCCCAATCAGTTTATTGACGGTGGGCTTCAGTCTTTCACACAATACGCTCGATAAGACCTTGTAACCTATGCTTAGAAGGCTGATCCCGCGGTAGTTGGCCCGAATGGCGGGGTCACCTTTCTTGTGGATTGGGCAGAGCACACTTAAATTCCAGTCGTCGGGCATGCGTTCATCTGACCATATTCTGCACAAGAGTTGATGCATGCCCCTCATCAGCTCCTCGCCGCCGTACTTGAATAGCTCAGCTGGCAGGCCATCCAGTAGCTTTGTTGGTTTTCAGCCGCGTAGTCGCTATTCGTACCTCGTCATAGTCAGGCGGTGGGACAGCTATTCCATCATCATCGACTGGGGACTCGGATTCTTCTTCTCCACAACTTTTCGTGCTGCTACCATTTAGTAGGGTGGAAAAGTGTTCCCTCCATAATTTAAGTACGCTCTGGACATCAGTTACTAGGTCGCCATTATTGTTCCTACAGGAGTGCGCCCCGGTCTTTAAACCTTCCGTAAGTCGCCTAACTCTCTGGTGAAATTTTGGGGCATTCCTCCTATCGGCCAGTATCTCAAGCTCTTCGCACTCATGTATTTCGGCCTCTCTCTTCTTATTGCGGCAAATACGTCTCGCTTCCCTCTTCAGATCCCCATGATGGTGACATGGCTCGCGTTGCGCCCGATCGCAGCTTGACCCTTCGGGCTCGCTGAAATCCAACTACTTCTTCGGCGGCAGTACTTAATGATCGGGAAATGTGGTTCCACTGCTCGCGTATGTCGGATTGTTAAAGAGTGCTCTCAGAGAGCAGGTGTGTGAGTCGAGTGGCAAATAAATAAATCGTAGAGGCTGCAATTGACCGAATGAGATCAAGCCTAATCATTCAATCCAACCACCCAGATTTAGCGGATAATCCGACTATAAACCAAGTGAGACAAAATCAGCAAGCTTTTCAAGCGGCTATCTTTCTGCCCACGAGGCCCGATAAAATAACCACTATTAGACAAAGCTGGCATTTGAAATTTGACGGGTCATCGGAGGGGTTAAATTGCAATGAATTTATATATCGTGCTCGCTCTTTGACGGCAGAAAGTCTGAATAACGACTTTAATGCGGTATGTAGAAACTAACACGTTTTGCTTTCTGGTAGTGCCAAAACATGGTATTGGCGTTATCACAAACAAGCACCTGCAATCGACTGGAACTCCTTTTGTACCGCGTTGAGGTATGAATTTAGATACTATCGTTCAACCTACGACTTACGCGAAGAAATAAGGAACAGAAAACAACTCCCGAACGAAAATTTTACTTCTTTTTATGACTCCATAATGGCTATGTTAGATCGACTTCCCGTACCAATGGAGGAAACAGAGTTGGTAGAAATGCTTAGCAGAAATTTACGTCCGGATATCCGACATGAACTTTTATATGTGCCCATACTTTCGGTAGCACATCTCCGTAAGTTAGTTCAGATGAGGGAAAACCTTCTAAACGAAGCCACGTGTAGACGCACTTCTCTAACTCGGACTAGCCTTCCAACCCAAGACGAAATGTCGTAGCAATAGGTTTAGACGAAACCGAAGAAAACATACCCGTTTTAGAGGAATCGCAGATATCAGCAGTTGCCTTACAAAGCAGTCATGCAAGGCAAATAAATTGTTGGAATTGTGACGCATGTCTAAGGCAAAAAACTCCTCAAAGAAGGCGTTCGATCACAAGAGAACGCTGAGCAACCCACATAATTAAAAGGCATAAGTCAGAAACCACCGGCTAGTTCAGAATCTATTCCCAGCCTTGACCAAATATTAGAATCAGAAAACAGCCCCAACTATAGAATATTAAAGCAAAGCGAGAAAGTGAATTACAAAATGTTAGTAAAATCATTTACCCATCGAAGCCTTTATATGAACGCATACGCAATTATATTAGAACCAGAAATAGGATTTTTAACGACTGCACTGGATCCTTAGAATCTTCGGTAAAAACCAAAAGATCGACTTTACGACTTAGACGCTTCTGGAAGACAGTAAAAGAAAGTAAAAAGTTTTTATTATCGGCAATTTTAAACGAAGACGATGCAAGGTATTATGCCAAAGTAAAGCTTCTTGATCGCGAAGTGTTTGGATTGTTAGATACTGGAGCCAATATAAGTTGTGTGGGTTCGAATTTAGCGAAAGGAGATTTTTCAGGTTTACCTGAGTTTCAAAAATTTAAGTCGAGAGTAAGGACTGCGGATGGAAAGCCTCAAATAATAGTTGGAAGTCTGAGTATAAATGTTGAGTATAAGACCAAGATTAAGAAGATTAAGCTCTACATTGTTCCATCCATAAATCAAGACTTAATTTTGGCTATAGATTTCTGGAAACTGTTTGAATTAGCTCCAAATATCATTAGTAGTATTTCTTCTGACAGTAACTGTCATCGGAATTTTGAGAATGATGATCAATCTAAAAGTCAAAGCGATGAATCTGTTTCGTATTCGCTGACCGAGGGTCAACGTCAGCAGTTAGAAGCGGTAAAATTACTTTTTCCAGACTTTGAAAAACAAGGACTCTGTAGGACAAGTATTTTAAGGCACGATATTGAGGTAGGTGAAGCAAAGCCGATAAAGCAACGCTTTTATCCAGTCTCTCCAGCAGTAGAAAAACTTATGTATGAAGAAGTTGATAGAACGCTCAAGTTAGGAGTCATTGAAAAATCTCAAAGTCCTTGGAGTTCACCTATGCGCATGGTTATAAAACCAAATAAAATTCGACTCTGTCTAGATGCTCGAAAGATAAATGGAGTGACTAAAAAGGATGCATATCCACTTCCTTCAATAGAGGGTATTTTTGCAAGATTGCCGGAAGCATCATAACTAAAATTGATTTAAAGGACGCCTTTTGGCCGATTCCTCTGTCGGAGAAATCCAAAGAAATTACAGCGTTTACCGTGCCTGGCCGTCCACTGTACCAATTTGTGGTAATGCCGTTAGGCTTATGTAATGCTGCACAAACTATATGTCGTTTAATGGACTATATCATTCCATCAGATCTGCGAACTTGTGTATTCGGATATTTGGACGATTTATGCATAGTATCGAATAACTTCGAAACGCATCTTTCTATTCTAGTCAGAATCGCGGAGCAGTTTCGAAAAGCCAATTTGACCATAAACATCAAAAAAAGCCAATTTTGTTTTAGGAGAGTGAAGTATTTGGGTTATGTCGTCGGACATGGAGGTATTGCGACCGACCCAGAGAAAATCGAATCTATTAAGAACTGGCCTACACCGAAAACTCTAAAGCAAGTTACGGGATTTTTAGGGTTAGCAGGTTGGTATAGGCGATTTATCGAAAACTTTTCGGATGTAAGTTTTCCTATAACAGAAGTTTTGTCAACGAAACGCAAATTTGAATGGACAGAAGCAGCTCAGTTAGCCTTTGAAGAAATAAAAGAACGTTTGACAACAGCCCCAGTTCTACAGAACCCCGATTTCTCTAAAAGATTTTTTGTACATTGCGATGGCGATTATGGCATAGGTGCTGTGTTAGTCCAACTAGATGCTGAAGGATTTGAACGCCCAAGAGCTTTTATGTCAAAAAAGTTAAACTCAGCCCAGCGTAACTATAGCGTTACGGAACGTGAGTATTTAGCCGCAATAGAACGTTTTAGGTGCTATCTAGAGATGCAGGAATTTGAAGTAATTACAGACCACTCTAGTTTCGTATGGCTTATGCGACAACCTAATTTAAGTAGCCGGTTAGCAAGATGGGCTCTTAAGCAACAAAGTTATAAATTTACAATAAGGCATAGAAAAGGGAAAGATAACATCGTGCCAGACGCTTTCAAGGGTGCATTGTGAAGAGTTGAATGCGTCAGAGATTGAGTCTGAAATCGATCTAGATTCTCCATACTTTTCTAATGATGAATATCGAGCTTTAAAGTCAAAGATTTTTCAAAATCAAGAGAAATTCCCCGATATTAAGGTTGTCGATAATTTTGTCTACATACGTACAGAGCATTCAGATGGTACACCTGCAACGGAGGAATATTCGTGGGAACTTTGGATTCAGAGCGAACTTCGGAAAGAGATCTTGTCCCGTGCTCACGACAATGTTATTTCTGCTCACGGCGGTGTACATAAGACACTTAAGCTACTACGTCGACAGTTTTATTGGCCAGGATTAGTTCNATCTTGTCCCGTGCTCACGACAATGTTATTTCTGCTCACGGCGGTGTACATAAGACACTTGAGCTAATACGTCGAAAGTTTTATTGGCCAGGATTAGTTCGCGATGTTAAAACATACGTAGGAAATTGCGAGGTGTGTAAAACTACTAAAGCACCCAACGTACTCTTACGACCACCGATGGGACGTCAGGCTAGCACAGATCGACCTTTTCAGAGACTTTATGTGGAAATCCTAGGACCTTACCCAAGAAGCAAATCAGGCCACATTGGATTATTGATTGTACTGGATCACATGTCTAAATTCCATTGACTTTGTCCTCTAAAAAAATTCACCTCCTCAGCTATCATCGAATTTTCACAAAAACATATATTTCACATATACGGATTACCAGAAAACCTTGTCAGTGACAACGGGTCACAGTTTAAATCTAATGACTTTAACGCATTTCTCACACGGTATGGCGTCAAACATATTTATACTGCTCTATATTCACCTCAAGCAAATGCTTCAGAACGCGTGAATCGTACAATAATTGCTGCAACTAGAGCTTATTTAAAGGATGACCACAAGGAATGGGATGTAAATTTAACGTTTATAAGCTCCGCACTCCGAAACTCGCTGCATCAATCGTTGAAATGTTCTCCATATCATGCCTTATACGGATTTGATATGATCATACATGGGTCATCATATGATTTGTTGCGTAAAATGCAAGTGCTGGATGAGCCATACATGCGATTAGCCCGAGACGATGCACTATCGCTTGTGCGTGGTAAACTGAAAAGTAACCTAAGGAATGCATATCAGTCCAACGAAAGACAATACAACCTACGCTCTAAACCAATAACATTTAGAGTTGGACAAGAGGTATTTCGACGGAACTTTGCCCAGAGCAATTTTGAGAAAAATTTCAACGCCAAATTGTGTAAAACCTTCTTAAAAGCAAGAGTACGGGAGAAAGTAGGGAATTCGTATTATGTCCTGGAAGATTTACAAGGAAAGATCGTAGGAACTTTTCATGCCAAAGATATAAAGATGTAATCGCTATTTTTCTGTCCAATTCACCTGTTTAAAAAAAATGAATTTTCCAGTTTTGTAATGTGCGATTCTGGAATAATCCGTTCTTTTAGAGAAAACCTATTTCAAAATCCATTCATTTCCATAGTTGTTGACCGGAAATATGTCTTGACAATTTTAAGTTGTAATTGTAGTAGATTTAATGAGATGGCCATTCCTTGGGGTAGTTCGGAAATGTTTAATTTGCTATTCATATGGCGGAAGTCATATGGTGCTTAAAATAGCTGAGCGAAATAAGGTTTTGCTTAAGTTCCGGTGAGCCAAAGTCTGTCTTTTGGATTCAGCCTTCACTCTAGCTAGACGACTTTAAGGAAATCAGCAACTTTCCACACTCTGGTAAATATATTAAATAAATTCTGTAGGAGATATTTAACGTCAAGAAAAAGTAGTATTTTTAAAGTTTCTGCATATCTTAATTTATAGGCATTAACGCAAATCATTGCAAAAATACGAAAGCAGAGAAGCAAGTATTATAAACGACATCTTAGGAAGTGAAATGGAAGGCTCTAGGAAAAGTCGGATTTGAAGATCTTGACTAAATCCTTACGCGCAAGTTGTTTTCATACGGTAAATCCTCACCTATTCGTTTTTTTTTATTTTTGNTAAGAATATATGTATTCCAAAACCACAGATTGCGAAATTCGGAATTCGATTGTGAATTAGACATACATACAGGGGAGCGGAGTCTTTTAACTCCAACCTCCACTCTTCCACCACGAATTTGCCGAAAAGGGCAGAAAAGCAACGAAAGATCGGTCCAGCGTCAGTAATTTAATCAGCAGGCAATAAGAAGCCACGCATTCACGGACGGACGAAGAAAATTGTGTGAATAATATATATAAAATCATAATGTGGTGAATTATATAAAAAGGTGGTGACTGTGTGATGGGGTGGGTGATTATCAAATAGGGACCTCCATTCAAAATTGGTGCATATCTGGAGGTCATGGAAGGGAGGGTTTAGAAGCACGAGTTCCAGTTCATCACGGCAACTCATAGATGAGAGAAGGAGGAATTCTAGTCCATCTTGTTTTTTTTCAACCAACATTTGTTTTTTTTCGTGTAGCCAGTGCACTCAACAAATGTTTTTTGTAACAAATAAAAAGGGACTCTGCAATAAAGTGTGATGTAGGTAGGAGCTGTAGAGGAAAGGTCGCGAATCCCCCAACCACTGTTTGCTAGCCAATAGACGGGTCCCGACAGACCTACTCCTCGCAGTATCTGATGGTCCTCAACTGATCAATAGTTTGAGTGACTCCCAACTGTACTGATTATGTCACTATAATATCTGGCCGCCCTACTAGCAACAGACATTGTGGTAGCAAAGAGAGATGCATGTTTTACGCTATGTCGGTAATCAAGT